TTCAAAAACATTTTCTTTTTCAAAAAAATATTTTCTTTTTTCCAAAAATACGTAGGATTAATCACTCTTTCCCAGCATTTCTTCTTCGAAATTCGAAAAAGAATTTTACATAATTCTTTTCCGAAACTTTTGTAATTCGAAAACATTTTACAATTAATTAAATTAATTTTTATTTTATTTTTATTTTTATTCTTTTCCGCCATTTCTTTTTCGAAAACATTTCTAATTAACTCTTTTTAGGAAATAATTTGAATTAATTGTTTTTCGAAATTTAATTTGAAAATATTTCAGAATTCATTAAATTCCTTTCGTTTGAATTAGTTAATTATTTTCCAAAAAATTTGAAAATACGTTAGAATCTAGGCTACCAGCCGGGCCGCCCGGGTCCCGGGTGGCCAGCCCGTGCAAGGACCAGGGAAGGTTCCAGCAAAAAAAAAAAAAAAAAAAAAAAATCCAAAACTCCGAAAAAAAAACTATGTTATGCAGAAAAATAAACTGAACAACTTTTGCGTCAGGCTCACATCAGCATTCTTCACCAAATTTAGAATAAAAATTAAAATATAAAAAATATTATTTTATTTGTATTTTTTTATTTATTTTTGGCCCAGCCAGGCAAGTGACCCCGGACCACTCTGGTAGCCTAGGTTAGAATTAATTAAGTTCTTTAAAACTTCTTTTCGATATTTCTTTTGGAAATTCGAAAATAATTCTAATTAATTATTTTTCCCATTCATAAAATTCCTTTTTGCAATTTTTCTTGAAATTCAAAAAAAAAAAATCAGCAATTCCTTTCCGAAATTCTCTTTTTATTCAGAAGTGCTTCCTTTTTTTTTTTTTTTTCCTGAACTCCTTAATCAATTACGACTAAACTCAATTAATTCACGACTGAATTAATCTCTTTTACTTGGAATTAATCACCCTTTTTCGAAATTATAAAATTTTACCTCGAACGTAAATCCGAATAAATTTCGTTAGAATTTTTTTTTTCTCGGAATGAATTATTCCTTTTCTTCATTTGGAAATTCCTGAAAATTTTGCTTTCATATTTTCTTGAAAAATACACTCGTGAATCATTTTCGAATAAATTAAAATTAATTTACACTCTATTCTTGCAAATAGGAGTTGCCCCCCCCACCTCCACATGCCACCACGCCAAACCAAGAACTCCCAACGCGCCGCCGCCGCCGCCGCCGCCGCTGCTGCTGCCACCGCTGCTGCGGCATCCTCCACATCCACTTCGGCCGCATCCTCCATCAACATGTCTGACATCCGCACCGACTTGGTCGATAGCATCGCCCGCAACCTCGCAGGCGAACAACCACCAGCAAACACTGCCACCCCCGACCTCTTCGCCATCCTCCACGCACTCAACACCCTCCCAACCTTCGTCACCGCCTCTCTCGACCACATAAAGGCCAACATGTCGGCCATATGCGACCGCGTCACCACGCTCGAGGGAAACACCCCCGCCATCACGGTCGTCACCACGACCAAACCCCCCTCCTCCACACCCCAAACCACCCCCTCCTCTGGACAAGCCTCTGCTTCAACCTCCACATCAACATCACCG